CCTATTATGAATAAGCCCAATGCTAAAAGTATGACATAAATAACATAATTTTTTTTTAATGGTTTATAAACTGAAATAGATTCTTGTTTAATTTGATCTGAATAATATCTATCTAGCTATTAGTCTTTTTTATGTATTACTAAGATTTCCTTTTATTTTAACTATTTGCGTATCCTATTATATGTAATGTTGTTAAATTGGTTACATATATTTATATCATTGCCAACATTCTATTGTATTAAATAATCCTTTATTCAACTTGATATGAAAATTGAAAATTGATTGAAAGACTTGACTGAAGTTGTTTGAATTCAGAAAATGAAAGAGTACAAAATTGGTTGAAAGATTAAATTAAGTAACAGGTATGGTTGAGGGATTATTTATAGTTCTAATTATAATTATTTCTTTTGAATAGAGTTGTTATCAGATTCAAAGATTGAAGAAGATAATTTTTTTTCACATTTTATTGATGAACACCAAGCAAAGTTCACATTGTCAAAGAGTTTCAAGTTTTAATTTGAGTAATTTTGGTTTTTACACCACTGAATGTTAATGTAAAGGTCTTTTTTATTAATTTGTTTTTGTATTAAAATAAATGTAAAAGATAGATATAAAAGAATAGAATGTTTATAATATTGTGATCCGATAAATCATGTGTGTAGCATTTTATCTTTAGTAGTTAAGCAAAATTCTTTAATATCGTAGCCTTTTACAGGATAAAGTTTTATCTGATTTAAAAAGTAGATTTTCCAAAATATTATGGCAACTTCTGCGATGGAGTAATAAAAAAACTTACATGTATTTTTGGAATTTTAGTTTAAGTTACTCAAGCATAATTTGAATTTTAAAGTTTTTATTTCATTGTTTTGCTATATGGTTTCATGAGCTAAATATGTTAATAAATCTTTTTATTCTTGTTTGTAGAGATGCAAAATGTTATTCTCAAGGAGCTTGCAGAAATAAAAGTTCTTTTAAAAGAAGTTATAGAAATTAAGTTTCAGGCTATTGGGGTGAAGTTGCTAGAATTGGTGGACGAAGTGGTTACACTGGATAATAAACTAAAAGATAAAACCAAGTATACTAATTTGGTATAATCTAATATTCTTAATTTTTAATACGTTTGTTTAAATTTGGTTTATTAGTTTAGAATCTAAATAAAAAGTATTTGTAAATGAACTAAAATAACAAGCTTGTGTTAGACTCAGTATGTTGTAAAGAAATTTAAGTTACACTAGTTTTTATTACATTTATTTCAGCTTGACAGTTTAAAAAAGATTGGTGGTGGAAAGCCAAGAGAACATGTTTTTTTGATCATGAAAAGGTAAATGATTATGTTTTTATTATTTATTAGAAAAATGATTAAAAGGGACCAAAAGCAATTCTTTTTGACCGTTATTTGTTATGGATTTACTTTTAACATGACAAAATGATAAACTCGGGAGCTTAGCTGTAGGTGTTTAAGTTTGTTTGTGTGCTAAAGTAAGTGTAATGCTAAACCTTGTTTAGCATTTTATTTTTAAATTTAATGCTTTTACCTTTCATAATTTTAAGTATTCATATATTAAAATATATTTTAATTTATTACATATATTAAAATAAAAATCTTTATATATTTCAGTTTATTGTTAAAATATTTATCAGGTTATTTTCGAATCAGATTTAGTCCAAATTAAATCGAAAAGGAAATGGGGAAAAGATAAGCCTAGAAAATCTAGTAAATATATGGAGTGTTTTACGAGGTATAGTTTTAGTAGTATTTACAAAACTGATATCTGTATTAAAAAGATATTCTTCGACTTTTTTGTGTCATGCTAGAATTTTTGTATCCATAATTCAAGTTCCTTTAGTTTTTTCATAAAAAAATTGTTGTTTATTATTGTATCTGGTTGAGATACAAATCTTCTTGTTTATATATATATATATACATGTATATATGAGTATATACAGTATTGGACAAAACATTTGCAATCAACGTCAAACAATGCTAAAAAATGTTCCTAATTTTATATGTCTTAAAAATGAAACGAACTATAATACCACAGCAAACAGTTCAGGAGTCTGGAGTCATAGCATGCCATGATATGAGCAATCAGCTGACAGGTGACAACACACAGGCAGAATTGCGTTGACAAGTGCCATTTTGCAGCATACATATATATACTGTGAAGCATGGTGTAGGTAATGTTATGGTCTCGGGGTGTTTTTCTGCTAATGGTCTAGGTCCAATACATCGAATCGATGGAATAATGGACCGTTTCATGTATAAAAATATCCTGAAAGATGTTATGTTACCTCATGCTGAGTGGAATATACCAATAAAATGGATTTTTCAGCAAGACAACGATCCCAAACACACTACAAAAGTAGTCAAGCAGTGGTTTCAAGACAACCATCTATTGGTGATGGATTGGCCGCCTCAATCTCTGGATCTCAACCCTATCGAGAACCTGCGGGAGATTGTCAACCGCAGAGTTAATCATGAGTGTGTTCGTAATAAGGATCAACTGTTTCAACAAATCTAAAAGGCCTAGGCAGCGATTCCACAAAGTTTCATTAATCACCTGATCGAATCTGAAAGAAATATAGTTTCTTATGTATATTTTTGTGAAATAAAAGTTAAGTAATGTTAGTTAAAATGTTTCTTTACTTATTTAATTTAATCCTTTTTTATGACTAATTTAACTGCTGTAACATCTTTGTATCAAACAAGTCCCAGCAAAGAAAGAGATATCTAAAATGCATCTAATATGCATCTAAAAACTGGTCTAAAAGACGTCTAAATTCACGTCGTGAACGGGACATAAATAGATGTCTATATTATAGATGTCTTTTAGATGCATTTTATTCGACACAAATAAATGCCTTAGATGCATAAAAGATGTGAAATATACATTTAAAGATGTATATTAGATGTATATTAGATGCATAAAAGAGCTATTATTAGCTAAAAAATTATCTATTATCTATCTTTTTTAAACGCGCCTTAGACATCTATTTAAGAGACGTATTTTATACATCTAATATGCATCTATAAGATGTATATTTCACATATTTTATGCATCTAAGGCAATTATTTGTGTATAATAAAATGCATCTAAAAGACGTCTATAAGATAGACGTCTATTTATGTCCCGTTCTAGACCTGAATTCAGACATCTTTTATCTCAGTTTTTAGATGCATATTAGATGCATTTTAGATATCTTTTTGTTTGCTGGAAAAAGACAGTTTCTCTAACTATGAATGTAATTACTTTAAAAAATAAATTTCAATTGGATCTCAAATTCCAGTTTACAACTTTATGTCTAAATTACAGTTAAATAGTAGTTTTAAGCAAAATAGACATAAAATTTTTTTTTTTTTTCATAAATTACGTATATATTTACGACATCAGTCATTAGAAAGTATATGTTGAAAACTGGAATTTTAGATAGACACATAATGAACCCATATTTGAATTTTTAGATCATGAAATGCATCATGGATGGAGTCTATCCACGAGTTTGGTAGTAAGTTATTTTATCGGTAAAAAGATAGTTTGATTTCCACTAATTTATTTTTTGCGCTACTTTTTTTCTTTATCAGCAACAAAAATAGTAGCAACAAGTTTATGATGTATGTTTAATTAAAAGCAGTTATTACTTTTTTGGCATACTTTTTACTTTGAAACGTGAAAATTTATTTTCATGCATTAATACTAACATTTCTGTCTTTTTTTTTTTTTCGTTATTATTTTTAGGTGCCCCAAAAAGACATAACGGTCTTGTCACAGAGCACCGCGGAAGTGCATTTAACGCCAATGACAGAAAAGTGCGCCACGGCCGCACTTTTCTGTCATTGTATCCAAGGTATGATAACATTTAAAATGATATATTTAAAATAACTATAATAACAGGCACAAAAAATTCAGCTTTGCGCATGTTATTACTTCCAATTATCAGTATACTAAAGTAGGATTGGAACTAGGTTTGAAGGATAATGTATAATATGAATTAGAAATTATAATAAGTATATTAGTCTTATTTTGTTATCATAAGAGAGATATTTTTTATAAACATTAACTCATTTAAAAATTACGTTAAATTATAGTATCCGCGTTTGTTTTCAAGAGCCTTAATTATAAAAAGCAAGTGATATAAATTACAAATTTTCAATAATTATGAAAAGATATAAATTACAAATTTTGCGAATGCAAAGCAATTTTTTTCAACTACAATAAAAATGTACTAAACGCAACCTGCAAACTTTTGACGGTTTAATTGATAAATCAAGATAAAACAAAGGCGTTTATAACTGCAATAGATAGACCACCTGGTGGAAATCTTTAAAAAGCATTTAATTTATTATATAAAACCAATTAAACACAAGCAAATTTACATAATGGGAGATTTTAATCGGGATCTTTTAAAAATAAAACTTAATAATACTAATGTACGATATCTAAATAACCCTCTTTAGTAGTACATAGTACTTTTATTAAATAACCTACACACGTGTAACTTGACAAACCGTAACCCGTTTCAATAACATCTTTACAAACAATTTTATAAAGTACAAAATTCAAAGCGGAATAAAAAAATTACTGATCTTAATATACTACTATTTTGAGATCTGTGAGAAAGGTCTGACTTAAGTGACCACTTTCCAAAATTTTTTATAGCTTTATCTTGTCAACAATAAAAAAGAAAAAAAACAATAACTGTAACTAAACTATATGGCTTACAATCTCTTTAAACGCACATTCTTAAGACGTACAGTCTTAGCGTTTCCAAAAGATTAAAATGAAAACTAAGCGCAAGTCGTTGGATGACAAATGGGCTTATCAAATCTTCTTTAAAAAAAAAAACTCTATCAAAAGTTTCTAAAAACAAAGACTTATCAAAATTAAAAAATATATAAACAATAAAAAAATTTATTTTAAACTATAACAAAACAATTGAAAAAAATTATTATTGCAATTTATTAGAAAATAATATCGGTAAAACTCAAAAAACAACTCCTGTTAAAACAAGTTTTAAATCGTATTTACAAAAAAAGGATTTCGTTATGGAAAAGGATAAAATAACTTTAAATGAGCTTCAAAACGCCTTTAATATCATACAATCAAACAAAAACCCAGGACTTGAGAACATTGGCGCAAATGTCGTAAAAAGTTTGTACGATATTGTTGAACATCCCCTTCTGATTATTTACAACATGCCTTTAAATCACGGGGTATCTTCTGAACAGCTTAAGATGGCTAACGTTGTTCCTATATTTGAAAGAAAGGACGGTTCTTTGGCTTTTAACTATAGACCCAATTCTATTTTACTCTGTTTTTAGAAAATGTTAGAGCGCATAATACACAATAGACTCTATAACTTTCTAGTTAATTATCACCTCTTAAATAATAATAAATATGAATTTCAAAAACGACACTCAGCAGAACACGCTGCAATCAAAGTTACAAATGAAAATTTAAATGGATTCGACAAAAATTAATGCACTCAAGGGTATTTCTTGATCTTTCAAAAACATTTGACACTGTTGACCATGAGATTCTTCTGTATAAACAAGATATTAATGAAAAGAAAAAACATAAACTTTAAAAAGGTTTGCTCCTACCTTAACAATCGAAGACGGCCATTACCGCATGACAATACTGCTACACAACCTAAAAGTATTACCTATGGGCTCCAGCAGAATCAATTCTAGGGCCATTACTATTTCTTGTTTATATTAATGATCATCTCATCTTTAAATAAACTCATCTTTATTCTCTTTGATGACGATACACAAACATTTTTTAGCCACGAAAACATCAACTTTATGCTTAACACGGTTAATCAAGAACTAGAAAATCTAAACAAATGGTTTGAGACCAACAAACTCTCGCTAAATGTAGGAAAAAGCAAATATACTCTTTTCACAAAATTTTATGGCTTAGACACCCTTCCTTTAAAACTTCCTGAACTGCTTATCGACAAAACTAAATTAAAAAAGAACACTCAATCAACTTTTAAGGTACAATTCTTAATGAAAGTGTTAGATGGGGTAATCATATCAAAAAAGTGGAAAAAAAAATCTAAAATTATTGGAATTATGTATAAATCAAAGTATCTTTTTAATACAACTTGTTAAAAAAATATTTATTTGTCTTTTCATCACAGCTGCATCAAATACTGTAACATAATCTGGGCGAGTACTTATCCAAATAAGTTAAATGCAATTTACAAAAAACAAAAACATGTATTCGAAGTCAATATTCTTAGCATACTACTTTTTATGTTTAAGTTAAAGAATTTACTACTACCAAACACTTTCCAATATCAATTTATTTTTATAAACCAGAAATACCAACCTGAGTACGCAATTAACTTAAATTTACTCATACACTATGTACTCAATTAATAAACTAAGTACTCAATTAAAAAACTAAGTACTCAATTAACTCAAATTAACAAAGTACTCAAATAACTTTGTCATACCAAAAAAGTTATTAAAACAAACCGACTTCTCAATATCTTGCCGAGAGCCACGATTGTGGATTTTGAACCTAACAAGTAATTATAAAGACTATAACTTCCACTTTACATTTTAAACGTGCAACAAAACATAAAATATTTGACTATAAATAATTTTAAATTAATTTTAAAAGCTTTATTTAACCTTAGTTATTTAATATCTTTTATATTTACGCAATACGTTTTTTCAATAGGTCTTTACATTAATAAGTATGGGTTTTAATGTTATGTCATTATATTGACGTAAAAACAAAAAAATAACAATAATACTAAAATAATTACAAATTATTACAAAAAAAAATTAAAAGTTTATGCATGTGTATTATATGCAAGATTGTATCTATATTCGTAATAACGGGGCTTGATGATGTCTTCTGCCAGCCCCAGTCGAAATTGTTTAAAAACTTTATATTGCTATGAAGACATTGTAAAGCTTATTTCAAAGGACGAAATAAAAAAAAATAATAATAAAATGTAGTTTGTTTTCTTTGACATAGTTGAGAGTTTATTAGCCCTTAACCAATTGTTTACTTTGTTTAGTTCAGTGTTCATGTCTGCATATACACAACTACATAATGTTTACTGCTAAAACCAATCATCAGGTAAAAAATATATTATGTCATTTTGTTAAAAAATATTTTTTTTTAAATATACACAAAAAAAGTCACACACACACACACACTCACACACTCACTAACACACATACACACACACAAACACACACATACACATACACACACACATACACACACGCACACACACACAAAGCTGCAAAGGCTATTGGCCTATTATCGTAGAGGAAATTGTTATTTATGTTATATTTCATCTGACGACTATATAAACATGCTCTAGTGGCATCATAAACATTAATCAACATAATTCGGGACAAATATAAAATAATATCTAGCAATCTTTAGAAGCAAATTAAAAAAAAATGTAAAAACGATTGTAAGTATTCACGCTTGCAGAAACGTGAATTTTTTCAATTAAAATCCATATTTCTTTGCAGTCTTAGTGGGAAAAAAACCTGCAAACTTTAAAAATGGCCACCAACAGTTTGTATATAGTTATAAGATTGTCGCAAATTTAAGTTATTCTTAGCATAACGAAAAGTATTAAACAGTGTAAAAATAACTAAAACTTACTAAAATACGACCATAGTGAAATTAATCTACCAAAGTTCAGATCTTTTCTAAAACATTTAACAGTTAAGGGTACTAGTATTGGAAGACCAGCAGGCAAAATAACAACCAAATAAAATATCCAATTATAATCTTCTTCTTTAAAAATCAAACTTGGATTGTTTAAACTTTTTGAAGTTGTAAAGAAAGCTGATAAAAAAACATATTTAAAAAACCTACTAAAAAGTTTATCCATTTTTCTTATAAAAAGTTGATGTTACAAAGCTACACAAATTATTTGCTTAAAACTTATTTTTGATAATTTGCGGTATCAAATATTTTCAAGCAAACTTTTGTATAACGTTGAGATGAGATATAATACTGACAGTCACATGATTTGTTCTAATCATTTTTATTATCTTAAAAATTGTTATGATCTTTTGTCATAAAAAACCAAATGTGTCAATAGTCGATGATAATCGGCTGTTAATCTTTAAAAGTTTATTGCTGTTTTATAAAAAAAAAGTCTTATAAATTTTTTTTAATCTCCAGTTATTGTAAAATTCAAATTTTAACATAACTTGTTTCATGTTTGACACACCGGTGCAAGTAACAAAACCTACGGTGCAAGTAGCAAAAATTGAAAAAGCAAACTCAGCGGAATCAGGGAGCTTATTCACAACTTTTCCGTAACTCTTGCGTAGCTGAGCAAGTTATGAATAACTTAAGAATAACTTATGAATCAACTTATGAATAATGAGCAGTTATGAATAACTTACGCAAACTATTTTTTGCGTTACTATTTGGTATTCACATCTTTTTCCAAGCGTTTGCATAAAGTTAAGGTTGCGCATGAGTTACGCAAAACTTACGCAAAAACTTACGCAAATATTTTAAAACTGTTTGTATAAAATAAGTAGTTAGTATTACTAATTCTTTTGTTGATAGGTATCTACTAAAACTATTATATATATATATATATATATATATATATATATATATATATATATATATATATATATATATATATATATATATATATATATATATATATATATATATATATATATATATATATATATATATATATATATATATATATATATATATATATTTATATATATATTATATATATATATATATATATATATATATATATATATATATATATATATATATATATATATATATATATATATATATATATATATATATATATATATATACTTTATATATATATATAAATATATATATATATATATATATATATATATATATATATATATATATATATATATATATATATATATATATATATATATATATATATATATATATATATAATGTAATAACTAAGTTATTATATATAACTAAGAACGTTATATATAAATTATATATAACTAAGAACGTATATTTCCCAGAAGATGAGATGGAGAATTAAGGAGAATGAATGGTTGAGAGAGAGATGTTTCTAGTAATTTCTTTCTTATTTGGGGAAATACACGAACTTAGTTAAAATTTTAAATGTTTCTTTAACTAATTTCTTGATTAATTAAATCAATATAGTATACTATTTACTCAGCAAATGATCTAATGAGGAAATAAATAAAAATTATAAATGTACATATTAATTTTTAATGCCTACACTGATTACTATAAAATATCTGCAGACATTGTTAACAAAATTAAGTTTTTTAAACTAGCATACCCAGTGGACACAGACAAAAAAAAAGACGTCTTTTAAACGTCTTATACACGTTTTGGACATCTTTTGAACGCTTTTTGAACGTTTTGGACGTCTTTTGAACGTTCAAAAGACGTCTTTTTTTGGTCCGGTGTTCACTGGGTAAGTAATAAATAAATATTGCTGCTTAGAAGTAGGTTTTTATTATTATTTATTCTTTTTTTCTACTAAATATTTTACTAATCATTTTTAATATTAGTAGTAGTATTTATGTTAAATGGTACAAAAAAGTAGTTTAGTGCTTTAATTTATGTAAGGCGTTTTATTTATTTGTTTTATTATGGCATTATGATAAATATGTTGATGCTAAAATTTTTTGAGAAATTATTTACTCCAGTGTCAGAAATCAAGAAAGATTCTAAAAAAAGAGCTGAAATGGGGCGCTTGAGCAGATAAGACTTTTGGTAAAGCTGTATAACGAAAATAAGAGATTGCTTGATGGAAAATTTTCTCCTTGTAAAACAGATTTATTTTAGATATATTTTATCTAATAATGATATAAGATTTTCAATGTTAATAGAAAATTTCAATTATTTTTAGCAATTTCAAAACTTACAAAAGACGATGCATGGAGTAAAGTTGCAGACCAAGCTATCTGATCAAAAATCTGACAGCTAGGGAAAAGCAGCACAGATTGTTTCTAGTCTAAACAAGACTGGCGGGGGTGAGGGGTGCTTGGAGGAGCTTGACTCCATTGATCAGCAAATGGTGTCCAAGATGCCAAAAAATTCATACATGGTAAGGATTTTAAAAGAATATAATTTTTGTGTGTTTGTGTTTTATATATATATATATATATATATATATATATATATATATATATATACATATATATATATATATATATATATATATATATATATATATATATATATATATATATATATATATATATATATATATATATATATTTATATATATATATATATATATATATATATATATATATATATATATATATATATATATATATATATATATATATATATATATATATATATATATATATATATATATATATATATATATACATATATATTTACAGGGAATCACTGGAGGTATTGACTCTCTTTAAAGTCCTACAGCATCGAATAACGACTATTTTTCAACAGATATCAGGGAGTTTTTCACCACAACCAAATGAACAAACGTTTGATCAGTATGCAAACTATTTTTTGTGCAATGTGGTAGTTTAATAAATTTTCTTGCTTATTTTTATAATTTGCTAAATATATATATATATATATAAATATATATATATATATATATATATATATATATATATATATATATATATATATATATTTATATATATATATATATATATTTATATATATATATATATATATATATATATATATATATATATATATATATATATATATATATATATATATATATATATATATATATATATAGATATATATATGTATACATATATATATATATATATATATATATATATATATATATATATATATATATATATATATATATATATATATATATATATATATATATATATATATATATATATATGTATATATATATATATATATATATTTATATATATGTATACATATATATATATATATATATATATATATATATATATATATATATATATATATATACATATATATATATACATATATATATATTTATATATGCATATTTATATATAAATATATATAGAGAGAGAACAATAATATCAATCGCATTATTAAAAGTAAGTATTTCTTAAATTAGCGTCATTAAAAACATAGTATATCAAGCAACTGTAAAAAAAAACTATTTTAAATAATTATTTTAATGTAATATGAAAGAAATGAAATGATGTACTTGAATGAATATGTTGCATACAAAACAACAGCAAGTTGAAGAAAAGCTGAAAATCACAAATGATATAGTAAATAAACCTACCATTATTTTCAAGATTTTTTGAGCTAATTAACTCATCCCGAGCACACGCAGAATCTCTTCTATTGTAATTCACATAGGATTGAGAAATAACAGCAGGTGAATTGGTGGAAACATTTGTGAACGAGCCTTCTAACATACTAATAGTGGTCTGACTGTTTAATGTTGGTTTGCGTAAGGAAAAATCATCACATGTAGAAGAGGTAGTAGTTGAAAGAAATGGCTTTGGTATGAGAGCTTTTGATAAAGCAGTAAGTTTAGAATAACCACCGTGTATAGAAGAGGTTTGAGTATTAACCTTTTGAAACCAATTTAACATTAAAACTAATTAACAGCAAGAATATTATTATTACACAAGAAAACAAGAAAGTTTTATAAATATAATCATTTTTGAGTATTATATATCAATTTTACTTATTAGAATTTTCAGGGGAACTGGCATTGGAATAGACTTAATTGCATTTCTTTTTTCAGATAAGCTGGGACTCATTTCATTGTTATCCAGTTCTCCAGCTGTTACATTATCTCCATACTCTTCGCATACTTCTTTTTCATCATCTAGGATGAAATCAATTCAAAAAGATAACAATGACTGATATTTATTTAGTAAATTTAATGAGCACTTATCAAATATATAAAAAGACCTAGAAATAATTTAATGTTATATCTTTAAATAATTTATTTTAGAAAGAGACATTGATGAAATGCTTTAAGAGATTCATTTAGTCATCCAATTAGTAACTCCAATTAATAACTTACTAAATTAGTGAATAAAACATTTGATGGAGTTACTAACTGGAGTGACAATGGAAAACAGTGCAAATAATTTAGTAGAATTGAAAGAACCCTTGAAAAATAAAAATTTTTTGTAAATATTTTTTTATTATAAAAAACATTAGTAAATTTACATTTACATTTTATTGAATGTAACTAAAAAGAGAAATGTTAAAACCATATTTTTACATCATTTAATATTATTAAATCCCTAATTACCAGTTAGCTTGATGTATTTCAGTTTAAATTGATACCAATCATCAGTTGGATTGGATATTTTTTTCAGTCATGACTCAACATTTTTATTAGGCGAAAATACTTTGTTACACTTTACCCAGTTTGATGGAAGAGTTTGTTCATATTCCTCTAATGAGCCATCTTTTGCATATTCAAACCAAACCGCTCTGGTCCAAGACATATTGTTTGTAAAATTGAAAATTATGGTAAATCTGTATATCTAATTCAATAGAAAAAATATTCTATCAATAGTTTGATATTATAGTAAAAATATCAAAATAAATGTGTAAGAAATTAATTATTTTATTTTCAATTTTTATATATATATATATATACATATATATATATATATATATATATATATATATATATATATATATATATATATATATATATATATATATATATATATATATATATATATATATATATATATATATATATATATATATATATATATATATATGTATATATATATATATATATTACAAATATTAATAACAGTAAAAACAGAAATTAAAACAAAAAAAAAACACAGCTGTTAATTTTACCTTAAATTAGTTTTTTTGAAATTTTTTTTTTCTAGTATGACTGTATAAATAAAAATATTCTTTTTATACCAGATAAAAGTAAGGAAGTCATTTGATAATATTAAAATATCATTGATAATGCTAAAGTACTAATAGTTAAACTTTTTTTTAGACTAATGGCTCAATTATATAAATGCTCTGTTTATACTAGTTAAAAATAAGCAAAGCAGACATCCTCAATTATTAAATTGGTGCAACAAAACAAATAGTGATACAAATTTTTACTATTATCAAATAATGCAGTTTAATTATCATAATTTTTTTTGTACATATATGTATTATAAAAAAAATGAACTAACAATAATTATATATAACTATTGTTAGTTCATTTTTGTTTTTCACTAAAAAAATAATTTATACATTGAAAAGCTCTTTACCACAAATAAAAAATATTTTAAAAAACAAAATACTAAAATCTACTTAAAAACAATGATAAAAAATGAATAAAATTATTATAATATCTGAATTTGTTTATTAACTGCTTTTTCAATTTTAATAGCAAAAATATTGTTTGTAATTATTAATGGGATTGTTTATCTAAAATAAAAAACAACTCTTTTATTTAAAGATAATTAATTCAAAAACTAACATTGTGGTGTAATGGCACCAACACATATCCATTATTATATGGAATACCACTTTCTTAATAATTAGATCCTTTTTTTTATTTAAATTTTTCCTTGAATTGTACATTTTTATGAGGGAAATATATATGCAACAACTTAGAACAACACGGATCATCAAAAAACCCATCCAAATCAGATATTTTAAAGACATAGCATTCTATATTATTACCAATAACATTATTTACACGAACAACTTTTTCTCCATGAATGAAAAAACATCTATTTTTGTTTCTAATTGAAATTTTAGTTTTTGATTGCTTGCTTCTTGTTAGACAACATTTCTCTATCTCCTCTATTCTTTTTGTCAGCTGGGACAAAGGACTTTGTGCTTTGCGCACATATGATTTTAGAATGCCTAGATAGTTTTCAAAATGAAAAGCAGATATATCTTTCAAAATGAAAAGCAGATATATAACTGCAGCTGTGGTTGACCACATCTTCATATAGATGTGTCAAACTATGAACATTATAAGTAACAAATTCTTGACCATAAAGAAATGATGACCAATTTACAAACCATTCCAAGAGCTCTTTTGCATACACCAACAACTTATGATCATTCAAAAGATCACTATCAATCATTATACTTGTAGCAACTGATAAGCCTAAGAAATGCGTATATATTTCTTGAGAAACTACATTTTTTAAAACAACCATACCAGTATATAAAAGAAAATTTTTAAACTCTGTAGCTTTCCAGCGTTTAAACTCATCAATACCTCTTGGTTGTCATGCAAACTTGCTCGGCAATTTTCCTGATAATTCTCTAAGTTTTTCAGAAATGATTGCTTTTTGAACCTATGATATCCTGCATGATCTTTTACCTTTGTTGAAAAAAAATATAATTCTTTTAGTTACTCCTAAATAAACCAAATGCATAATATCTAAAATAAATGATGTAACACATGGTATATTATATTTAGCTAGAGTACATAATGTTTTTTGGTGTTCTTTGTAACTGTGTAGGTTAAATTATCTATTATTTCTCAGAGTATATCCTGACCCTAAAAAAGCTTGTCGATGATTAATATGTGCACAACGAATAACACATCACTCACAAGAATCATATCCATTATGACTAACTATTGACTTCAAAAATTGTCGAGTTGGAGCATCACAACAAAATGATTTAAGGGAAACTAGGTAATGTTTATATGGAGTTTTGGTTCCTTTTTGTAATAAAATTGATAACTTGTTTACAAAATCAAACATAAAGCTTTCTTCAGATGAAGGTTTGCATTTGCCACAGAAAATAGCTAAAGCAAATGGTTGGATACTTGAAAATGAGCAAAGTATAAGCCATAAAGCTACTGATGTGCTTTTAAAAAATGGGATCCCATCAAGATTAACAACTAACTCAATTTTCTTAAGATCTGGAAATTTACTTAAATGTTTTAAAATATTAGTTTCCAAACCATAGTAAATGTAAACGCCACCACACTTATTATGCAGTGAAATGTTACTTGGAGTTTTTAATAATGTCCTTGCATCTTTTGGAAGCTCTACATGGCTACATGCTCTACATGGCTACATGGCTACAAGCTCTACATTTTTTCTCTAAATAAAAAGAAGTTGATTTGTTGCAGAGTGTGAAGTTTGGTTTACAACAACCCATTCTGCTAATTCTTCACATAGATTTCCATTTGCTATTTTGTCATCTATAAAGTTTCCATGATTTAATACACAAGAATCAGAATTAGAACTGAGTCAAGATTGGAATCTGTGCCAAAATTCTTCAACACCGTCAACTTCTTGCTCAATTGAGTCTTCTGAAACAACTGTATTATCTGAAACATTTATTTGTTGTTCATCTGTTTCTATTGTACTAACTGTCTCAGTAAATAAATCAATTACTGATTTATTAATTTCTCTCCATCGAGTAATCCGTGATGACATAGCAACTAAATATTTTTATTCCTGTAAATAAATAAATATACTTATATCAGGGTGTTAGCTAGAAGTATATTTTATACTGAACTTTTTATGAAACTGTTATATATATATATATATATATATATATATATATATATATATATATATATATATATATATATATATATATATATATATATATATATATATATATATATATATATATATATATATATATATATATATATATATATATATATATATATATATGTATATGTATATATAGCTTTCTAATTTAGGTAAGCGAAAGATACTATGACTCAAAATAAGGTTTTTATTTTTTTTTAAACGAAGACCAGATATATTACTGATTTGAGGAAAAATGTAAGAGAGTGCTGCTACATCGATTGATTTATACCTGTCTTAACCCAAACCCTCAGTCGATGTAGCAGCATTCCCTTGCATGTTATCCCTAAATAAGTCAATGTAGAAGCACTCTCCTACATTTCTCCCCAATTCTGTAATATATCTGGTCTTTGTTTTTTAAAAAGTCAAAACCTCATTTTGAGTCATAGTATCTTTCGCTCACCTCTAATTTATAAATATAAATACATTGTATTATACTGTGACACAGTACTAAATTATAAATTTTACTAGCATTTTTAGCTATAGTTAAAAAAGTTTGTAATTAAGGCTGTGTAAAACAATATTTCCAAACAAAACGTGAATTCTTTTCAATAATCATTATATCCGCCTATAATGAATAGCCTATAAATATTATTAATGCGCATAGTTACGCGTATTGTTTTATAGTTACGGTACGGTTCTGTATCTGTAAAATACACTTTTTAAGTAGTTTCTAGACTTTTCTTTACCGCGTGCTAACTTACAGATTTCCCTTCAACCTTTCATGGTACGAGTTCAAAATGTCTAAGTTTTAGTACTTAATGTATAATCTGACATTAAGTAGATAATGTTTAGTAGCTTAAAATTATAGGTAATCTAAATTTTTTTTTTAACTTAAAAGTAATTAATTTATTGTAATCTTTTTTAAATTGTAATTTTAAATTTAAAGCTTCGTGTTATAGATTACTTTAATTCTTAAATTGTGTCTAGCGTTAAAATATATTTATGGGTAGTTTCATGCTTTCACTTAGTTTTGGTTATTGGGATAAAAGCCATGACAACGTTTTGTTATAAATTTATCTTAATTTAATTTTTATTGAAAATTTTGTTATAAATAAAATTTATCTTTAATATTGTTAATACTTTTGCTCTTTGAAAAAAAATATGTTTCTGGCTCTTCAATAAATATAAAATAACTTGTATTGCATGAATGAATTTTGGTTTAGGATTTAATTGTGTTAGTTTATGTTTGTCTATCTGTAATTTATTTAGGTTATTAGAAAATTCATGTTTACAGAGTTGTTATTAATCATAATCGAGTTGTTAAACCAAGGAAATTGTGGAGGTTTATTTATCATATAAACAATATATATTATATAATTATATTGGAGGGAGTAAGTTAAGAAGCATTTTTAAATTTTTAAAAAGAAATAAAAATACTTTTAAATATATATCTGTTTTCTTTGAGGTAGAATTGAAGTTTCAGTTTTTTAAAACTTTAAATTAACTTTACAATGTTAAAATGGTTTAAACGAACTAAAACGGATTTTTGTAAATAAATTTAATCCTCAAAGATTAATTTTTTTTTTATTATTGAAGAAATTAAAGTAGATTTAAGAATGAGTCGACTTAAATGTTTGTTTGTTTTTCTATTTAGATGATGACAATATTGAAGCAAGTAAGTTAAAAAGCATTTTTAAATTTTTAAAAGAAATAAAAATACTTTTCAATATATATCTGTTTTCTTTGAAGTAGATTTAAAGTTTTAGGTTTTTAAAATCATATATATAAGTCATATATCTTTGTTTTTCTATTTAGACGTTGGTTATAATATGAAACAAGTAAGTTATAAAGCATTTTTAAATTTTTAAAAAGAAATAAAAATACTTTTTATTATATATCTGTTTTCTTCGAGGTAGATTTAAAATTTCAGGTTTTTTAAATCATATATATTACAAGATTTAAGAATGAGTCGACTTGAATGTTTGATTGTTTTTCTATTTAGTCGTTGGTGATAATATTGAAACAAGTAAGTTATAAAGCATTTTTAAATTTTTAAAAAGAAATAAAAATACTTTTCAATATATATCTGTTTTCTTCGAGGTAGATTTAAAATTTCAGATTTTTAAAATCATATATATTATAATATTAAATTCTTTTTTACTTTAAAAATATCTATATTATAGTTACACTGAATCGTATAAAAAAAATTAAAGTTTATTAATAAGGTAGTAGATTATTAGAGTAGATTAAATTGTTTGGTCTATTAATCAACTTAATAACATACTATTAATATGAAGATTTATTTTGGTTGTTTGTTTGTTAAAATTTAGTTAGAGTTTATTTAAAATTTAAATTCTTTAGTTAATCAAGAGAGATCTAATAAAGGTATTAAGTACATTAGTTGAATGTGGCATTTAATATGTATTTTATTGATATTTTAACATCTGCACGTTAAAGTAGGTACGTGGAAATATCCGTTTTACGGAACCGAATTTTGTGCTAAAAAACTGTGCCACGCTTTTTAGAATTTTTTTTAACTAGCGTTGGGAAGACGTGTTTAGTTGAAAAACTTTTTAGAATTTGATATCAATATAGACTATTTTTAGAAACTAGAATAGTTAATCTTTATTACTGTGAGCTTCATTATTTTACTGGATGGCTTTTTTATTGAGTTTTTTGATGTCTAAAACTTAGTTGTACTTTGGGCATGAAATTAATGTCGAAGATATGCTCTTTTTTTTTCTATACTATTCTTTTTTTTAAGTTTTTCATTTATCTATGCACCTGGAAAATTTCATTGAAAAAGAAGTTGTAGCAGGGTGTCTATTTTTTGTCGCACTTTTCCTACCTAATTTTCAATTTTGCTGAAGTGGTCGCGGGAGACAGAGGGGTTAAATAAACATTGTTTACATTTGATTTTGATTAAATAAAACTTTCAGTTTTTTTTTAGATTAAATAAAATGGAAAACAAAGATGTTGATAAAGGTTTACAATATTGTTTCCTATTTATAAAATTTTAAAAAAATTATTTGCCTTCAATGTAAAGTTATTGAAATTTATTAACTTTACATTGAAGGCAAATAATTTAATTTAACTGAATTTTAATGTTTCCTTACTTTAAAGTTGAATTTTTTAAAAATGTAACTGACATATTAGTAACATTATAACATATTTTATCTTACATTGTAAGTCTCTCCAATAACAATTGTAATATACTACTACTAGTATATTACAATTGTTATTGGAGAGACTAATTGTTGTATCATGATGATCATGATACAACAATTAGTCTTTCCAATAGCAATTGTATTATACTAGTAGTAGTAGTAGTAGTAGTAGTAGTAGTAGTAGTAGTAGTAGTAGTAGTAGTAGTAGTAGTAGTAGTAGTAGTAGTAGTAGTAGTATATTACAATTGTTATTGGAGAGACTTGTTGTATCATCATGATACAACAGTTAGTAGTATATTGTAATTGTTATTGGAGAAAAAAGTCTAGTTTTTACCTAGACTTTTTTAGAAAAAGATGCACGATAATCATCTTTTTTTTTTTTAATGATTAACTGTTAATCTTTCAACTGTAACAAATAATATAATTTAAATATGGTCATATTTAACTAATATATGTTAGCAACCTTATTCAACTTTTATGTATAATAAATGTAACGTAAATAATCAAGAACATTTGTTATATTGTTTTAGCTGCCCAAAGCAGTCCTACGGCAGCAGCCAACAATATCAGTTAGTTATTTTAAACATTAAATATTCATTAGTTTCTTTTAACTTAAGATCAGTAGATTTATTCAAATGTTTGTATTATTTTGCTAAAAAAAGTTTTTCATTTTTTGTTTAGATGATGCTTTTGAGAGGATAAGTCAGTTTTTTTTGGCGATTTATTATTTTAGTATTTAGTCTTTTGCTCTCAATATTAAATTATATATCTTTATTATGCTATGTGTTTTGTACCGATTTTTGTGCATCCACAAAGTTTTTCCACAGTTGTTTATTTTGTATATTCCTGATTATTTCTTGCTTTTTATTGAGTCATTGTTATTTTTTTTCTATAGACAATTTAGAACAAACTATTAGTAAGTAAAGTTTGAACTATTTTAGTTATTTAGTCATTTGAACTTTTTTTTTTGTAATGTTAGTCTGATAATTAAATTTTATAATAAAGTTAGTATATTTAAATTGGCTTTTAGGTGAATTCAGACAGCAGTTTTGTAAGTTTAGTAAATTTTAACAATTTCAATAGTATAGTTTAATGATTCATGCTAAGATTATTATTTAATTGATACACATTAAAGCTGTTTACTCTATTGACACACGCTAACTAAAGATGTAACGAAAAGTGTAACTTTAAATTAAGTTTATTTTAGTAAACTATTGTTATTACTATTGTTACTATTTTTTCCTTTTAATTCTTTAGCAACACTTACTTCATTAATTGGTAAGAGATTAAGGTGTATTTTTATGTTTAAGTATTGAGAAATATAGTTTGATTTTGTGTATTATGCAGTATTGTACTATTTAATATGTACTATGTTATTGTATATTTTATATGTACTATGTATGTATATTTAACATGTAATATTTACATGTACCATTTAATTTTTTGTGTCATTGTATTATTTAATCTTTCATATCTTTGTCATCTGTTGCAGCTGGTAAGGTTTCTATATTATGATATTTCAAAATTATTTATATGGCAAAGTAATTGCAAGAGTTAGTTTTTTGTTCATTACACTTTTTTTTTTTTTTTTTGAAGTATCATCTATAGCTGCTCTATCTAGTAAGGTTTTTTTATTTTAACTTTTTAATATATTTTTAATATTTAAATTTTAATAACAACTTCAAGATTGGTATGTGTATTATATGCTTCCATATTTTAAAGTTATTTAAAGATTGTAATTTTTTACATTATAACATGATTTAATAAAAAAAATCATGCAATATATTTTATACTGATCCAATTGGTAAGTTTATTTATTTTAACTTTGTAATAAGACTTTCATAGCAAGGTAATTATGAAAATAATAAATTATTATGCTTTTTTTTTTTTTTTTTTTTTTTAGTACCACCATTATCTGTTTCAGCTGGTAAGGATAAATATATTGTAATTTTGCAGCATTATTTTAAACACAAAATAATTTAAAGATTTTTGTTTGTATTATGTTTTCAATTTTTTAGTTCCACCTTCCACTGATCTAACTGGTAAGGTTGTATATTTTTGCTTTGCAATATGATTTGCAATAAGATTGTGTAAAATGCTTTTTCATTTCTTTTTTAGTGCCATCATCATCTACTCCAACTGGTTAGTATATATGTTTTAACTCTGCAATATGATTTTAAATACAATTTGTTATTGAGATTGTGTAAAATACTTTTTTACTTCTTTTTTAGTGGCATCTTCATCTGCTTCAACTGGTTAGTATATATGCTTTAACTCTGCAATATGATTTTAAATAAAATTTATTTTTAAGATTGCATAAAATGCTTTTTTATTTCTTTTTTAGTGCCATCATCATCTACTCCAACTGGTTCGTATATATGTTTTAACTCTGCAATATGATTTTAAATAAAATTTATTTTTAAGATTGTGTATAATGCTTTTTTATTTCTTTTATAGTGCCATCATCATCTGCTCTAACTGGTTAGTATATATGTTTCAACTCTGCAATATGATTTTAAATAAAATTTATTTTTAAGATTGTGTTAAATGTTTCTTTATTTTTTTTAGTGCCATCATCTGCTCCAACTGGTTAGTATATATGATTCAACTCTGCAATATGATTTGAAATAAAAATTATTTTTAAGATTGTATATAATGCTTTCTTATTTCTTTTTTAGTGCCATCATCATCTACTCCAACTGGTTAGTGTATATGTTTCAACTCTGCAATATGAGTTTAAATAAAATTTATTTTTAAGATTGTGTATAATGCTTTGTTATTTCTTTTTAAGTGGCATCTTCATTTGTTCCAACTGGTTAGTATATATGATTCAACTCTGCGATATGATTTTAAATAAAACTTATTTTTAAGATTGTATATAATGCTTTCTTATTTCTTTTTTAGTGCCATCATCATCTACTCCAACTGGTTAGTGTATATGTTTCAACTCTGCAATATGAGTTTAAATAAAATTTATTTTTAAGATTGTGTATAATGCTTTGTTATTTCTTTTTAAGTGGCATCTTCATCTGTTCCAACTGGTAGGGTTTACTATGTAGTATGATTTTAAATTTTGAGTTTTATATTTTTTTAACTTGCCTCTCTGTTATCTAATATTATATAATACTTGTTGAAAATAAATTCTTTTTTAGTTCTTACATATGAAGACTATTGCCAGTATAGAGCTCACCACCCAGGACCACTGTCGCACGCTTCTTTTTTCCGTTGGTTGCGTTATGGGGGGGAAGACAGGCAATCTTTTGAATGGTCTTGTCGCCCCCCATACTTGGGTGGTGGGACCCATCAACGTAGAGGAGGTAGAAGAGGAGGCAGAAGAGGAGGCAGAAGAGGAGGCAGAAAAGGTGGGCTAGCCAATGTGTATGTCCAATGCTAGTTCACCTTCCTTTTTTGTTTTATTTAAATATACTTTTATTAAAAATTATAACTTGTGTTTTAATAAGAATTTTTAAAGTAAGTAGTAATTTCGTTGGAAAACGTTAATAGTTAATTTGTTAAGATAACTCAAAGTTAAGTGCTAATAATTTAAAGTTTATCAAAATAGATTTGTAAATTGCTTTAGAAAAGTTTTTACTTAAAAAATTAATTAAATTTTCATTTTGTTCCTCTTTTGTATCCGAAATTAGATAGGAAAACCTTGATAGTGAATATAGATTTCTATTCATGAAATTTAATTTCTTTAAAATTGTTATAAAATTTTTTTGTTGTACTCCAATATAAGAATTTGTTGAGGAGTTTTTGTTTATGCAGCTTCTATTTTTAGTAAACTAAATTGTTAATGATTTCATTGGTTTTAAAACCTCCACTTCAACCATTTATTTGTTATCAAAGGTATGCATATTGTTTGACTAAGTTAATACAAAAAATATATATATTTTTTAATTAAATAATAGTGTAATTTTGTTTTGTGTAAATGTGTTGATTTATTACTGTAAATAAAATTTAATTATATAAAATTTAATCTTATGAAATTATAAATTTTTTTTGGTTATTTGTTGTAATTTTTTTATTAAAGGTGAAATGGCTCCAAAAAAAAAGCTATTGATATTTCGTGGAGCAGCCAACAAATATTTGACTGCTAACTTTAAATTACCTTATGATGCAAATATTCAATGTAGAAATGGACACATACTTTTTATTTCATTAACAATGGTGAGTTATATATCAAAACTGTCAAACAAGTCAATGAGTTATTTAGCATTAACACTTACACAAATCATATCCAAAATGTAGTTAATGTAGCAAAAAAATGGACAAGTAACTATAAAAGAGACAGTAAATATTTTGAGGATTTTTGCAATGAACTCTTTTCATCTTATATACCTAACTTGACAATTTCACATTTATCCCAGCTTTGCTCTAGTGTTTTCCCTTGTGTTTTATCACCTGGAGAACACAACCGGTTTTTGTCTGTTAAAGATAGTGAAGTGTTATCTTCAGCAAGTTGCAGTAATAATTAAAAGTTATTTGCACTTCAAGACAAGAAATGACAAATAGAGAAAAAAAATTAAAGAGTAGAGCATCATATTTAGCTACTCAGTTAGCTAATTCTTCTAGAAAATATCGAAGCAATATAACATTAGTTAAATCAAAATTAATTAGCATGCCATATAAACTAAAGGTTTTAAGGCAAAGTGTTAAAAGAAAAGAAGACATCATAAAAGATTTAAGGACGACATTGACAAAATTAAAAAAAAGAATGCAAACATATTATTATAGACGACAAATTCGTAATCATATAGCAACAATAAAAACTTTAAAAAGTAGTGAAAAACAAAAGTTGCAGCAACTGAAGGTCAAACATAACACAGATACAAGGGGAATTAAAAAGGTGATTGTTAGTTTGGAAAATGATTTGCTTGAGAGGGATGAGAATGAAGCTACACTTTTAAACTTTACTAAAAAAGAAAAAAAATATTCATTACAGATGAGAATGATAATTTATAACATGTTATTGTGTAATGTCCCAACAGGTAGCATTCCATTATTGATTCAGAAAATTGGGCAAATTATGGGTTTTGTTTTTACTAATACTCCCCATCGTAATACTGTTGAACAAATGGCCCGTGAGCTTGGTAGTATATCAAGTTTGCAAGCAGCTGAATGGGCTATCACAAATAGTCAACTTACTATTGGTTTTGATGCAACAACACAAGAAGGTGTCCATATTAACAGTATTCACTTAACTTCTAAAGATAAATGTCTAGTCGTTGCTCTAGACCAATTACCTGGTGGAACTGCTGAGGACTATGAAAACCATATATGTAATGCCATTGATCATATGGCTTTTATTTATTCAGATTTTCACTTGTGTAACTATAATGAATTTCGTAATTCAATTATTAAAAACATTTCAAACACAATGTCTGACAAAGTTGCTGTTAATCATCTCACCATCAGCAAAGTATGTGCTACATGGGGAAAAAATCTTAATGAAATGAACTGCCATTTGCACCCTCTTGATACCATTGCCACATCATGTCGTTCAGCGTTGAAGTCCCTTTAGAATGAGAGTTGTAAATTGTATGGAAATGACTGTATGGCAACTTTGATAGTTTTGGCTATGAATAAAATGAGATATAAAGACGTCAAAGGTGATCCGCAAGGTTTTGTAAGTTTTTTAGATAATAACAAATTACCACGTGGTATCATTCCAAGATATCGTGGAAACCGACTACACATTCTTTTCAATACTTGTTTTATTTTGATGCGGCATTATAGTGACTTTAAACATTATCTCACAATTGGAACAGTAAAATGTAAAAGTTTACAGGCTACTCTTCGAGGTGCTTTTTGTAATACAACCGCCATTAAACAAATGTGTGTGCTTGCGGTATTTGGAAAAGTTCTTACTGGACCCTGGATGACATTGTTTTATGTAACAACAGATAAGGCCGTGCGGTTAACCGAACCGAACCGTTCTTTCGGTGAAAACCGAAACAAAAAAACCGAATCGAACCGAACCGATCTAATTATTTAAATCAAAATAAAAACCGAACCGTAACTGAAAAAACTTTTAAAAACCGATTTAAAATTTTAAAATTTCAAAAACATTATTTGACATCAAATTTTTAAATAAAATATAATTGTTATTTAATTTAAGAAGTTTCAAACCGCAGAAAAGCAAAGTTAAAAAGGGAACAAAGAAAAATAAACATAATAAAATAGCTTGCCGTGAAATTAGAACAAATGTTGCGGACCATGATGGAGTATAATTTTTTAAGGGTTGGATATCAATATCGTGTAGTATAAGCTTTTTCTAAAAAGATGTATTTTTTTAATCTTATTTAAATTTCTAATATTGTTTATAATATTTATCTTATAATATTATTATTTTGGAAACCTCGTTTTCTAAACTGTTTTCATTGTATAAATAATAAAACTGATATAATCAAAATAATTTGTTGTTTAAATATTATTAATGCCTTTAGGAGCATGCAAGGCGTAAAATAGTTTAATATTTGCATTGTAACTAATAATGTTCTAAAAAATAATTAAAATACATTTTAAAGATTTTGAAAAATTATTAGTTAAACTTATTTATATTGAACTATGTTTATGTTTATTATACGGTTCGGTTGTCTTACTAATCATTTTTATTTTATTTGCATTAAAGATGCCGAAAGAAAGTGATATTTGGAAATTTTTTGAAAAGTCAAGTAAATTTGAAGCCAAATGTAAAATTTGCTTTAAATCTTACAAAATCAACTGTGGCAGTACTTCAACAATAACCAGCCACGTCAAAACTAAACATGAAGCATCTTGGAAAGAACATCTTTTGAAAACTACAGAGATACTTAATAAACAAAAATTTAAAGAAAAGGAGACAAAAACAACTACAATTGAAAGTTGCATTATAAAAAACCAAAAATATGGGTTAAATGATCCAAAGCAATTAAAGTTTGACCTAGATTTAACAAAATTTATTTGCAAGCTTGGTCTACCTTTTGAAATTTTAAACAATGAAGGAGCACAAGAGTTTATTGATGAAGTAAATAGCAAGTTTACTGTCAAATCTGCATCAACATTTAGACGTCAAAAGCTTCCTATGTTGTATGAAAAGGTAAAGGAAGGTTTGCAAATAAAATTTCTCAAAGACTTTCCAGAAGTAACTGGAGTTAGTTTTACAACAGATCTCTGGACAAGTCGGAACAGTGATTCTTACATGAGTCTTACAATTCACTACATTAGTTCAGACTTTAGTTTAGTAAGTTTTCTCATTGCTTGCACACCATTTACTGGTAGACACACAGGGGTTGCAATTGCAGTAAACCTGGACGCTTTTATTGCTAATTTAAACTTAAATGAAGAAGTCCATCGAGCCTGCGTTAATGACAATGGGAGCAACATTGTTTTAGCTGCTAAAGAAAGTGATGAAATTAATTCTGAATTGCGCTGCAATGATCACACAATCCAGCTAGTTATTTTAAAAGCAATCAAAAATTCAATTGAACTTTCTAAAGCAATAAAAAACTGTACAGATTTAGCATCACACACACATAGAAGTGCTCTCTCTACGACCAAGCTTCAAGATGCTTGTGAAGAACTTGGAATTAAGCCCAGGAAATTGATTGTTCCATGTACAACTCGATGGAATTCTGATTACATGTGCATTAAGTCAGTCCTTGAAGTCAAAGATGCAATCAAAACACTTGCAAAAACCAATGATGAGTTTGAAAGGTCATGTCCCTCAGATGATCAATGGAAGACATTAGAATACAGCATTCCATTTCTTGAAAAAATATACAACATTTCAGTAACTTTATCAGCTGATAAAAGACCAACAATCCAAGATGTGATACCTGAATTATATTCCTTGCACCAAGAGCTTCTTTCCCATCAACATCACAAACATAAGCCAAAAAGAACATTTATAAAAATGCTGATTTGTGAACTTCAGGAACGATATCCTCTTAACGGTGCTGAGCAGTTGATTAATTGTTTTGCAAATTTTTTAGATCCACGTTACAAAGGCCTGCATTTGATTGAATATAAAAAATGTGATGAAATAAAAGAAGCAATATTGACTCAGGAAAAAGAGAAAAAACATGAAAAAGCTTCAATGAGTAGCAGCAAAACAGACAATGAAAGTAATGAAAATGTTAAAGTTAATCACCATGAACTGCTTAGAAAAAGACTGAAACAAGATATTTTAGCACGCAGTGCTTCAACGATGACTAAATTGGGTTTAGAAATTGATCATTATTTAGCAGCCGAAACAGCTGAAGAAACGATAGATATTTTAGAGTGGTGGAAAACTATGAAGTTGCAGTACCCAATTTTATCAAACTATGCACGAAAATATCTTTGTATACCAGCAACTTCTGCAACTTCAGAGAGGGTTTTTTCTAGTGCTGGTAACGTTGTCACTGCCAGAAGAACTACATTGGCGGTTGAGAATGTTGAAAAAATGGTTTATATAAAAGAAAATATTAAGAAAATAAAAATTAATTTTTAGTTTTTTTTGGTAAAAATCTGTAAGTCTAAATTTATTTAATAAATGACCTCTAAAACTTTGTTTTTTTTTAACCGAAACCGAACCGATCAAAAATAAATTTAAACCGAACCGAAAAAAACCGAATTGTTAGTTTAATTTTTAAAACCGAATCGAAAAAAACCGAACCGAAAAAAACCTTAACCGCGTGGCCTTAACAACAGAGCATGCAAATTTTGATCATGTTGATGTGGATACCATCAACATAGCAGTGAAGAATGTAGGTAGTGAAGAATGTTTTACAAACAGTTCAAGCATGCAAATCCAATCCAGCTGATTTGTTTTTCAGACAGACTGATTTTTTTGGAAATTCGCTTAAAATAGACATTTTAAAATTAATTACAAGTTTATGCCCTATTGACGAAGAGCTTCTTAAAATGACTTCTGCTTGTCTAAATGCAGTGGAAGATGTTTTAAATAGACAGTATAGTAGATATTTTTCACTAAACATTACAGAGAAATTAAAAGAAGAGACAGCAAGCGCAAGGCTTCACACTATGGATAGTGAGGAGTTGATAGGTATGTTTAGCGATGCCAAAGTACGTTCCCCTAACGCAACCATTTGCTATATTTCTTGCAAACTTAGATCCAAAAAGAATAGTACTGTGGATTATTTAGACAGTCTAGACCTTAATTTGAGAGATAAAGTTGTTAAATGGTCAGTCCATGCAGCGCATAGAAATAGAGTTAGAAATCGATTGCATCAGGCTAAAATTAGAGCCAGTATTAGCCAAAGACAGGCATCCAAGCGCCAAAAAATGGATGAGAAAGAAAAAAGAAAATTAGAGCGTGAACTATCCAAACTAAATTATGATGAAATTATAGATTCATACAAAAACTTGTCTAATGACCAACTTTATGATTTAGAAGATGTTATGTCTGGAAGAATTGTAGGCAAAAAACTATACCATGAATGGTACGATCCAAATACATCCAAGCCTGTTTTGTATAATGGCAGAGTAGAAAAAGTTAGTAACAGAAAAAAGGACTTAGTTTACACAATTTCTTACTGGAAAGATGATGAAACAGATATGGAAGCTGTCGACCATTGCATTAAAAAGATCCAGCTTGTTGCAGATGTTATTTCAGGAGAGTTACAATTTTATTAATTTTGTATGATATTATTAAAACACTGTGAAAGTATAATTTTGAAATTTATAAGCTTAACAAAAGTACTTCAAGTGTTGTGACTTGCTTAGCAAATGTACTGCAAGTGTTGTGATTTGCTAAGAAAAAGTACTGCAAGTGTTGTGACTTGCTAAACAAAAGTACTGCAAGTGTTGTGACTTGCTAAACTAAAGTACTGCAAGTGTTGTGACTTGCTAAACAAAAGTACTGCAAGTGTTGTGACTTGCTAAACAAAAGTACTGCAAGTGTTGTGACTTGCTTAACAAAAGTACTGCAAGTGTTGTGACTTGCTAAACAAAAGTACTGCAAGTGTTGTGATTTGCTAAGAAAAAGTACTGCTTGTGCTGTGACATGCTAAAAAAAGTACTGCAAGTGTTGTGACTTGCTATGCATTTTTGATAGACGGCTCTGGCTTACCTTCACGTGGTGTCTATTGTTAAAAATGATTATAAAATAATTTCATTATTGGAATTTGAAATTGTAATCATTCACTAAAAGCCAAGACAAAACTTATTATTTTAATGATGCTTTATGAAATAAAGCATCATTAAAATAATCACACATTATTTAGTGAAAATAACATTTTATTTGTTCTTTAGTTTGAAACAGCCGAAATTTTCGTTAACCAAGCTACTATCAAGCACTATATGAAAGATTGGAAGATTTATAAAAGGTTGGTAAATACCTTGTTTTGATTACCTTTTTGTCATTATTTACTTATAATAGAAGTCACTAAGTAATAGAAGAATATTTAAACAACTAATTCTCCGATTAAATTTTACTTCTTTGTTGTTGTACTTTAAATACCCAATCAGGTATTTCATAATTATTTTTTTATTTGATATTAGGGTGTGTTAAAACATCATCAACACATTTAACATTAGTTTTATGTTTACCTTCAATGTTTTGTAGTTGTCCGGTATTAATTTATAGAACCTTTTTTATACAGAAAAAAAACTTTGTTTTAAGACTTTATTAAAACAGAATTTGCGTTATTGTAATTTTTTATTTTTTAGGTTGGGGGGGGGGGTTACACGCCCCTCCCGTACATCAATGCAAGTTGTGTATTTGAATTCCTGTAAAATATAGTTTTATTATGTATACTATTGATTTCAATGTAGTAAAGATAAAAATTTTAATGAAAACAAGTTATTTTTGATGCTAGGGTGTATCAAACCATCACCACCGCACCCACCTCCATCGTTAACATACGCCTCTCATATAATCGGTGGTTTAATATAATTTTTATAATAACTTTTTTTGTATATTTAAATTACTTATTTCTTGAAAAAAAACTTTTTTTCTGAAAAAAATGTTCAGTTTCATTAGGGTAAGGTGGTGGTTTGGTGCCCCCTCTGTCCATCCGATACGCCCGGTGGTTAGAGTTTAACAAAAATTTGTAGCCCACTCTCACACCTATCTTTTGACACCAAGATATTTGTATTTTGATAAGAATTAAGAAAGTTATGACAATTTAAGTGAGGAAAAACATAATTTTGACCACAGTTTCTTCAACAATTCCATATATCGAAAAATCGGTACTTAAACCGTCATAACTTTTGAACCAATTGTTCGATTTTTAAAATTTTTTCCCCTTTAAAATACTGTATTGATTCTCTTTCCAATGATATATAACAGTAGAATATTTAAACAATTTGAAATTTTTACTTACGTACCTAGTTAAAGTGATTTTAT